TCCTGCTGAGAGCATCCATCTCTTGCGTGTCTGTGACGATATATTGTCCCTTAAACACTGACGGAGTATCTAAATATGCCGACATCACACTCGGAGAAACACTCTGGACTGCTGAAAATAAAACGTTAACATCTGAGTGTTAATGTAAAACTTGAGAAGAGCTGATTGCTCACCAGCTGAACGCCTCACTGGAGACAAACCAACCATATGATAAGCATGAAACATTAACTCAGCATGAAATCAACAGTTAAAACATCATTTCAGTACTGTGCTTTCAGCAGGTGCTACGTGGGTTTCCCTTGGTAACTACTGCTGGATGTACGCATGTCTAAATCAACTTGATTGCTTTCATACTCAGTATTAAAAGATGTCCGTAACTGTGCTGTTGTTTAAACAATTTATTTTCACTTCCCGTCACATTTTCGATGTATTCGACAAGAGACGGCCTTTACCATCTGAACGTCTTTGCTTCCTCTAATCCATTTCTCCTGCAGATGAGATATTACTGTTGCTACAGACAACAGGTGGAGTTTTGCACGTTCTCCTGGTGCCTGCGTGGGTTTCCTGTCCTCCCACAAACAGATGCAGGTTAGGTCAATGGCCACTCTTAATTGCCCGTGGGTGTGAATGGTTGTCTGTAAACTCACCAGCCTTATCTTGAGACCCTCCGCTCCTTTAAATCAAGATTGAAGACTTTTCTGTTTGCTGCTGCCTTTAATTGAACCAGATTCAAGGATATTAATCAATTTCTGCATTTTACTATACTACTGTATTTATTTCTTACACTGCTTTTTAGTGTTTTAATGTCTTTTTTTAATGTTTCAATCAATGTTCTTAATTGTTTTTAAATCTCCTTTTCTTTTGCCTTACATTTTGATGTTTTGAATGGTTTTATGTGAAGCACTTTGAATTACCTTGTTGTTGAAATGTGCTCTACAAATAAACTTGCCTTGCCTTGATATCATGCTTGAGACTGGCTAATTGGCAGAATTGATAACTCTCCTGCTCTGTTAAAGAACTTTTTTACAAAGATTTTTCACAAATGATGCCTCGTCTTCTGGAGAGAGTATTATTGGACTGTTATAGAGTGATGGGTGTGTGTGTGTGTGTGTGTGTGTGTGTGTGTGGCAAATGACTAATGCAGCACAGTGGCAAACATCAAAGCAAGCCATTCAGCAAGAAAAATGCTGATGACTTGGTGCGTCTGATGTGGGCGAAACATGGACGGTTCATTTTATTTGCATCAGCTAAAATGTGCAAAATTATTTTACCTTCATAACAGCAAAGAAAGCACAACCTGCTGATACAAACGTAATAGGAACATAAATTAATTTTTTACTGTAATCATGATGGGAAATGCAGGACAATGGGAAATCTTGTCCCTCTAATAAACCTCAGGAGTTTATACAACCGACTGTAAATATCAGTGTCAACCTGGTCGCACATCCATCAAAGTTAACTCTGCACATTCAGATTGTTTTAATCACCTGCCTCAAAGACACGCAAGCTCAATGAGCTGGCACGCAAAGCTCCAATCAATGCCTGTCAACCTCCACTACTGTAGCTGTCACTGGGTGAATAAAGTTGAACATGCAGCAGCTATTGTTGTGTGTAGAAACAAATACTTTTTCAGCGAGTGTGGTGAGCATGAGCCAATTAATTTGACCTGGTTTTACATAAGAGAAAGCCTTAATAGGCTGCACCGGCTCTTTCTGCCTCTGTGCCCTCTGCAGGGGTCTCTCGGTGTGTTTGTGACACACAGACGCGCACACACACACCCAGATCAATTAGGCTCCCACACACCGAGTAAAGTCTAACAAATGTAACCGCTCCGGAAACTGGTGGCAATTTAGCAGTTTGAGTCAGAGAAGATAAATAAAGTGACTCACACAATGTACAGCGTCGTCGGGATGTTTTCTCAGCGGCAGATTGTTCCGGTGACGAGGAAACGAGATCACCAAAGTGTTTGTGTGTGAAGAAATAAACAGCACCTTTTCCCCTATCAGGTGTGAAAATGAACACTGGTGTCATTCAGTGGCACCACCAGGGGGGTCCACGGCTATCCTGATACAAATCACTGCCCCCCCCCCCGTCGTGACTCACATATGCATAACATGTCTGTGTGGTGTTTTTGAACTGGAGTAGGCTTTTCCCCAGTAAATGTTTCGCTCCTATAATCAACGTGCTCCTTCAAAGTAAAGCTGTAGATTAGTCTTTTTTAAAAGGAAAGGTACCACCAGCCTATTTGAAGAGCAATGAATCGCCAACACGTGCTGAGGGCCGTTCACTCCGTCTCTCTCCCATCTTTTCCTGTCACCTCTTTACTGACTAGACCTTTTTTGACCACCTTTGTTAATCCTCATTAATATTAAAATGAGCAACATTCCATACCTGGATCACATAAATAACAAAACCATTTCTATGACAACTGAGAGAACTCTACCTGATGAGGAAAATTCTGGAAGGTTCACTCAAGTCACGGGACCTTGTGAAAAGATTTATTTGTCAAGCATAAAAACTACAGTTACTTAGTTTACTAAAGCTCCTTCCAAAAATGACTATTGACCCGCTATTACACACTAACGTTGGTATCTAGAAGAGCAAACACTCTAACATGTGCTCCTCCAGAGATCTTCCACATCTCTACATGTCTGAGACTCTTGATTGCCGGCCAAAGGGAAGCTTTGCACTAATAGTTCATTCTCATGCAGCCCTCTGCCGGGAACGCTGTTTGTTCCAACGACGGATGACGGCCGAACAATTTCTGGTTTAGTTAATCACGCTGTAATCAGAATTACCCTAAGCTCTGTTGAGTTATTCTGTGAAAAAAAGGGGGATATAGCCGGCTCGTAAACATCAGCTTACACCGGAGCCTAGTGGCCACCGTCTCATTACAAACCAGCCGTCACTGAACACATTCAGCGACAGGACATGACAGCATTTTAACAACCCGGCCAAAAGAGAAAGCCATTTTTACAAGAGAGTGTGTGTGTGTGTGTGTGTGTGTGTGTTGCCATAAACTAATTCCACATTCAGACTGCTCGGAGCCAAATCACCTTGTCACTGTCCTCAGGCACATTTGGGCTATCTGATCGGCAGCAGTAATGTGTTTGTGTGGTATAACTAGAATGTGACTTATAACAGTCAGTTATAAAACGTTAAGCATCCATCTCAGAAGTGAAAGAGTTCTGCAGGCAGCCGAGTATTTCACGGATTTATTTTAGCGTTCACTAGCCAATTAGCTACGGGTCTTGTTGTGGAAAGCCAGTGAGCTGCTCTGTTCCATCAATTCCAGCTGGGTCTACGTTGCTCATGTGAAGTCGGTCGTGCGTTCACGGTTTTGTGCTGCAAGTCTCTTGGTTTGCTAATTATGACGATTCTGACAGGCAGGATTGTTTTGTTTTTTTCCAACAGGCTTAGCTGTTGTCAGAAATGTGAAAAGAAATCATGCATATTTAAAAAAATCCATTCGAACAGAACAGAACAGAACAGGAAGCAAGTGAAGCCACAAAAAAAAAAAAGAGTTCATTCATTTGTTTCATTCCATTTAGCAGTTGCACCGCATCAAAGGATGGCTGATGTGATGTCACACCACAGTGGTTTCCATGCAGAAGCCCATAAGAACAATGCGGATTGTAAGTCAGGTGTCTTCTGCATTGTTAAAGGACATCATACACAACTTTCTAAGTATTTTCAGCACTCAAAAGTGAGTTATAGATGGACATAATGTCCCCTCTCTGTCCTTTCCAATGCTGCGCCTCAGTGAAACCTGAGTTTGAACCAAACAAATCCTGACATAAAAGACGTCAGCTGTAACAATCTCTAATTTCCACACTAGAGGGAAGCCGGCATCGGGTCGGAAAAGATGCAGCAGCACGGTTTACAGAAGCAGGATTGGCCAATTCAGAAGAGCCTCAATCCAAATCTTTGAGTTCTGAATGATGCAGAATGAGTTGATAAGAAAGAGAGAAATTTAGAGTATTTAATGCATCTCGTCAATATTGTTTGTGTTTGTCTGAGATTATGTAAAGTAATAGCTTCCAGCTGGCTCTTAGTTTTGGCTCCGAACTGAAATGCTTCCAGTCCAAACAGACGTTTAAATTGACGAAACACTTCCAGAACATTTGGTTTGTCTATTTTCTTTAACATTTGGTGTCGATTTGTGGCGTTATTAATGAGTAATTCAATGTGTTATCAGTTTATCAAAGAATTTAAAGCCAAACATAAAAAGAAAAAGTCAATACAGGATGCTTTGAACCTGCATGACCCAAAATGTGACTGCTGGGATGTCCAGAATTATTTTAAACGACATCCCATCTCTTTCAGGTAGATCCATGCTTTTATATTATTTCCAACCTCACAAGGGGCAATAACCATAAAAAAAAAAAAGAAAACGCTAACAACACTTCCTTGAAATATAAGTCAGGGCATTCAACCATGCAACAACATTATGCCCTCTTAAGAAGAGTACTCTGCTGTGTGCTTAAAAGGAGACCGGTAAGATCCAAGAGCAGTAGCAGCAGTCACGGCAATAAAAAGTTACATATTTCATGAATTGTCAGCGTGCTTGTTCCTGCATTTAAATTCAACATTTCGCTGGATGAAGAAAGGATGAAGAGGAGGAGGAGGAGTGGCTTTTCAGATTGACACATTGACAGACTAATCTGCTCCTGCTGCCAATAATATGAATCTGAGCAATGCATTTGAACACACTGTTAAAGGTCATATAGCTACAGTACATGGAGTAGGCCACTTATTGTAGTGTGTCTTACATAACCGACTTAATTCATCGAAATTAACCCTTAAAACGCACACCAGCTTGTTCTTAAATTGACTAAGTTGGTTAAAAGAGAAATTGTGTTGCTTTTCTTGACTTTTCCCGTGTAAATATGGTTCGAAACCCACTTTCCATGATACCAAAAAACGGCCACCGCACTCCAACTACGCTCGCGGGCTGCCACCTGGAGCAGCACCTGCAGCGCGCGGCCTAATTAGCTTACCTGGAAACATCCATAATAACATCAGCGTGGCTCGAAGTCTTGTCTTTATCGCCATGGCGCAACATCCACCGGCTGCTCCAGCGCACACGGGAGCTCCTTTAAAAGTTGACACCGATCACACCTCTTTGCTCCTCTAACCACGGGCTTAATTGTCTTTCGGGTGTGCAATTAACTGTCCGCAGTTAAACCGGCGCGGCGGCAACGTGTGCAAGTGAAGCTTCCTCTCCTCTCCTCATCACGCAGACAGACAGCGGCTGACATCGCAGCGCGCGCCGGCAGCTCCACTCGCCTTCACTTCACAAACCTCAGGGAGCATTCAGGTCTTTTTTCCGTCCTCGTCTATGTTTAGTCACCAACCTGCTTCACTTTCTGCAGCTTGAGTACGTGTCGCTCACTCTCTCGTGCTGCTCTCGCAGTGTAGGGGCTTATCGACCCGCGTGAGCTGCTCTGTGACGCCCCCTGGCAGCGAAAACCTCGACTGCACAAATAAATGTCCTTCAATAGGTGAACGGTTAACGCGATTAACAGGCAGAGTCCTACAAATGACAGCATGCTATTGACAGTGGGAGTGGTTCTGCCAAAACAAATCTGTAATATAGAACTATTACAGATTTTTATTTTTATTTCTTCACTATTTTACGACAATTATTATTGACAAACATCTTCATTCAAGTTTGCATTGTTTCTGTGATCGGTCTTGTCTTTTTATACAGTGAATGATGTGAGTACAAAACTCACTCTTTTTCATTTCTTAATTTCCTTAAGAAAATACTGGAAAAATAGACTTGTTTAGATGACATGAGGACAATCATACTTTTGTTGGTTGCTGTCCTGTTTTCTCTCACCTTTTGTAAACTAGTTGTGTGCTAAACACTGATACATGTGGGTGCTGTAAAGAGTGGATATTGTAAATTGTACTTGTATTATATTTATTGTTCTGGAGCTGACAGTACTTTGGTATTACTTAAAGAAAATACACTGGTGGATAGGGGCAACAAATCACCACTAAAATGAAAAAATAGGTAACGGGTTACATTGTTGTGTTTCCTCTCTCAACTATGTGTTTGCAGATTTAAAGTTAGCTTTACAATGTGAAAAAGCACCAAAAAAACTAAAACAACTTCACTGTCGCTGGAGGTTTTTCATGTCTGCAGGTGCTTCTTCAACTTCAGTTCGAGTCCAAATCCCTCATCGTGTGTGTGAGATGTTTATGTGTTTGCCCTGTGATAGTCTCACACATCCCCGCACAGGACAGAAATAAAAAAAAAAAAAGGATAGAAGTGTGCTCTGTTGCTCTTATAGAGAGACTTAAATATAAACCATTAAACCTGCTTCATGTGATGTTTCTGTCCACTTGGAAGCAGCTGAAACAATCTGTAAAAACAGCACCGACATATCATCATCTTTTAAGCTGGTGTGGAAAAGTAGTTCGCAAACACTTGCCAGCAGATGCAAAGAGTGTTTCTGGTCTCCTGATGAATGTAAGTCCAGTATTCACTCTCCTTTTACCTCTGTTTTGGTCTCCACCAACTCCTGAATGAATTATGTGGCTCTTTAAGTGTTCTTCTCCAGCTTTGTCTCCAACTTTGTTTGTCCGTTGTCTGGCGCCGAGCAGGTAGTGTACAGTGAATTTTTGGATTTCTTTTTTCTTCCAAAACTGTGCTGCTTCTGGACTGTTGATGAGAGTGGTGAGACAGAACCAACACGGTAAAGTTGCGGGCCATAAAACCAAAACCATGAAATGAAAGACGCTAAAACGCTCTGTCGAGCAGAGGGGAACTGAAGAGTCTGGTGGTACTGATTAAATTCTTAAATTGACAGGGGACTCGCTCTGCTAGAAAACTGTTAAACTTCATTCCATCTCTGTGACTTTGAAGTCAGCATCAAGGTGAAGCGATTCTGTGTTGATGGTGGCTTTAATCTGACTATTTTACGGGCAAATATTGCATCCTATTTCATCTGCAAACATCAAAATAATGAAAAACTCAGCCAGAACAACTCTCAAATACACTTAGTTCCATATAAATGTAATGTCAACTCCATTATCATGCAGTACCTGATATATTACAAAGTGTAATTCGGAGCAGGAGCAGGGGTCACAGGTAGTGAAGTCTCGCAGGAACACACTGTGCAGCCACTTAAACAAGAGAACAGGAGCTGCCGTGGGATTTGACATTGTAATGCGAGTCTCAGGTCCCGGCTCGGCTCGAAATAAATGGGTCGTCGGGTGAAATATTAATGTAGGTGGGTCGATGTGTTGTATTTTTAATGCAATATAATGGATTTTTTTACATGATATTAAAGCTTCACATGTTTTCCGAGAGCACTGCCTGCACCTTTGCATGCACTGAAGTTCGCAATTAAACACCGTGAAGTGGCGACGACCTCATTCAAACACATGAAGAAGTATTGTTAGTTCTTTTGTTTTTATTTAATCTAATTTATAATAGAGTATGGAGAGAGTGATACTGACTCACTATTATAATCCTGATGTATTCATGTCGCTCTCATATATTATTGAACCTTCATCTATTGTTGTCAGATTTTAGACCTGATCATTTTTCAAATAAGGATAATAACAACTGAGTGCCTTACTGTGAGAAAGACCTATGGGATTAAAGGGATATCAGCTTTGTTTAAGAGGAAATTACACTGTGCTGTATTTATTTTTAATTGCGGATTACCTATATTAATTATGGAGTGCACTTAAATGTTATTACTGGGTACTAGAGCAGGAAAATGGAGAAAACAGTAACAGCGTTGATATTGCAATCAAGTTAGATACAGTCCCTTGGGAAATTACAATGTAAAACTCCTACAATGCAGGTCTGTGGTGTTAGACTGCAGTGGTATGCGTGGAAATAATATTGAAAATAAAGACCTGCACACTGTTTTCTGTCAGGTCCAAGTACGTTGCTCAGAGCTTCACAGTGATAAAGTCAATTTCTGAGGAAAAGGTGCAAAACAAACACTTTGAATGTTTTCTTCTGATTTCTTCAGTCTTTGTAATGGAAGTGCAATAGACTCACTCTTGAAACTGAAGACACTTTTTCTATTTCGGAGCAGTTTTTGTGTGTAGCAATAAAACTAAAACATAAACAGTAGCTGTAGGGCCCCTGTGTGTATCAAAATATGACTTTTACGTCTATATTTGTGTGTGAAAAATGTGTAAATCTTGTTCATTATAAATTCGATGTCACTAGGCTAGGCGTGAATAATTGATTGCTTAAGTGTGAAAGAGGCAGCGATTGGAAACTGCACAGCTTGCATATGTTGAAGCCTCTCCGACCCTGTTCCCCATTCAGTAAGCTACATTTCCAGCAGGTCAGGTATATTTAACGAAATTAATACAGCAAAAAAATGCTACAGACTACTTCACCACCTGCCCTTTCATGCAAGGGCGCACATGATTTACAACTGCACAAAAGCGATAAGAAATGTCTGTGTGGTGGACTTCTTCAGTATCTCTGTGATTTGTGTCACTTTCAGCAGCTATCTATATGAGGAAAAACACTCCCCGCAGCCTTCCTGAACACATTCATTGTTAAAGTTCATGGAGATGCTGTTATCTTGCTGCCAGCTGGAGGAAGATGAGCTTAGCCTTGACAGTCTACTACCTCTATGACTGGACTTCTTTGTGGAGACCATTTTCTACCCGTTGCACTTTGCTCCACTGTATTTTACACTGTGTGAAGACATCAACATGATGGATTACTGTTATTTATACAAAGTGCAAAGAGATCAGATTCTTTTTTTTATTTTATTTTATTCTTTTGTGCCATCTAGTGGTCGACAGCTGAAGCACTGGTTCTCCACCTGCTTTTCTATTTCTATTTTTAGGGGTTGGTGTGCTGCGGGTAAAAACACTGAACAGGTCAGCAGTCCCTCACAGGGCTAATTCAGAATGACAGACACTCATTCACACTCGTGCTTGTGTACCTGTTGGCAGCTTTGGTCTTCTCTCTTGACCTGCGTGGCTTTGGACAGAGGGAGGAAACACCCAGAGGAAATCCACGTGAGAGCACGAGACCTCGCAATGTCCTCTTAGAAAAGGCCACAGCAGGGAATCAAACGTGTGCCGTTATTGTTAATTAACAGCCACCATGTTTCCAGAGGGTACCACTGATTAAAATGAGAAAGAGATAGAAAGAGGATCTCAATGTAAAAGAAAAAAAATGAAGTATGTTATCAAGTGCTGAGGTGGTTGGATTTTTTATTTTCAAGGGAAAAGTCATGTTATTAGGCATTGACGCTTTAATTCTGCTGCTTTTTAAAGGATATTGCCGCCACAATTCTCTATTTTTATCCCTGCCAATCAAATCCCCAAACCAACTATGTCTCTCACACACTATGTCTGTCATCCAGCCCCAAGAGTGTTTGTGCCTACAGAAAACCATCAGTTTTGCAGGAGGACTTCTGTTTGAAATGGGAAGTGACACCAAGTGTTCATAGTGTGTGACCCCAGTATTCAGGTCCACCTTCATAGCAAATGATGGTGCAGGATGTAATTGCTGATAAGAATTTAAACTGGACATACCTCGTGTAATGGGGCTTTTTATGGCTTTTTATCTCCATAAAAAGCCCCATTATTTGGCAATATTTGCTCTATTGTGGCCATGTTGTCTCTGTTGGCTCCACATTACAAACTTTTGTTCTGCAGCCTATTGGTGTTAAAACTAACACCAACTTTTGTGTGAATTATTATGTTTCAAAAAAATACTGAAGAGGTCAAAACTCAAGCATAAACTTTATTATACAATATCGCAATAATGTTCTGTTTGGCAGTAGGTGAAGTTGTTCCAGTTAGGAGTCCTCAGCTTTGCTTGTGGATCTGTGAGGCTGTCCTTTGGCAAAGTGGGGCTTAAAGCTAAGTGCTAACATAATTGCAATGCTAACGTACTTTGGTTAAGCAGGTGTAAGGTTTATCATGTCCCCCATCTTAGCCAAGCATGCTAATATTTGCTAATTAGCACGGAACATTGTCATTGTTTTGCCATGGCTGAAAATACCAAATATATCAGGCTGCATTTTGGGGAAAATGTATAAAATGAGAAATAACACGGCTACAGTGCTCTCATTGGACTTAACAGTCTAAGCAAAGTGCTGTCTTGGCTTTGAACATTTTACTTTGTGCACAGTGAGCATCCACTAAGCAGCTTCAATAAAGTGCTGAAACAAGCACAAACATGTTCTGTTTGTGATATTCATAAAGAGAGAGAGAAAAATGTGTCTTCTAAGCTACTTGATGTGAAATTCAAGGGGACAATTAGGCATTTCAGAGTCTAATTAATGTTTCTAGAACAGTTTATGCTCTAAATTAACATAGGACCTCAAAAAGGCGACAGAGCAAATATGGTGACGGTAT